CTCAAGAAACACAAGTTAGTGGACGTGTGTGTTCCTGTATAGCACTGTGACTTTCAATTTTCTTGCTGAATGTGTGTGTGTGTGTGTGTGTGTGTGTGTGTGTGTGTGTGTGTGTGTGTGTGTGTGTGTGTGTGTGGTTTGGTAGAGGAGCCTAGCTTCGCCACAAATCAACAGGTGTAGACCTCCTATAGCAGAGGTGACGAACTCAACAAACAAAACATCACATTTCTCGTCTCATAGCAACAGCTGAGCACCATTTACAAACAATAACAGAGCTCTATGTGGTGTTTCGTGCATAGAACAGTTTTAGCACACCCCTATCCAAAGCTTTAAAAGTACTACATGTATAATGTGAAATAAATAGGACAGAAATGTTACTAAAAGTAAAAGTAAAAGAGTTTTACTCTTGAGTTGTGGTAAGTAGCCGCCATCTTGAATTCTGAACTTTCCAACAGGGAATTCCCTTGTAAGTGGCTTGTAAGTGGGAAATTCCCACTTCCCAGTACAACTGGGCTGCAGCAAAAGTAGCTAGTGAAAATGGACGTCTTACACTATGACATTTGCTGGCTAGCAGCTACTTTTGAACCCTGTGCACCTCTGCCTACTGGATCATTTTGTGGGTAAAATAATTAACATGCTTTTTGGGAGATGTAGTTTATGGTCAATGCTGACTTTAAAGCAGCATACACTTATTTTAAGACATTAAAACATCTTTGACTCTCTYATGGGCCACATAAAATGCAATATTTGGCCCTCAGGCCTTGATGTAGACACAAACATTGTATAGAGTGCAATCCCTCTGTTTTCAGCCTTACTCTTGCCACCAATAAATATTTTTCTGGATTTGCTCCTGACAATAAATCAGATTCTCTAAACATATATTCAAGTATTTTTGAGGTGGAGTTTAAACATCTGTACACAAAATCATTAMAGTTGTTTGCTGTATCCATTCATTATTAAATAAGTTCATGCACATGGTGAGGTAATGTAAACCTATGACTACAACTTAAAAAAATAAAACTCTAACTACACAAAATATCAAATAGAAATTATATTCAACACGGTGTTGCAATGTAACAGCACGGAAACTTGCACAYACCGACTTGCACAGCGCCATCTGTCATGCATCATTACTCTGCACAGCAAGGATAATCATCTTTTTAATCAATACCACATGTAGTACAAGATTGGAGGAATATTACGATGCCCACAACTCAACACGCATGCTGCCGATACACATGTTATAATCCAAAATACACACACGCATCATTTTCAATCAAACAGTGTTTTAGCAGCTTTCTGCTGCAGTTTTGTGATATTTATTGTCTCACTGATACTGGGGGAGAAAAGCTTAAACACCTTGTGGTGTGGAAACATGAAGGAACCAGAAGATGCAAAGAAAACACAAATTAGACAGAATTGTATGTGTGTGTGCTCATGTGTGTACTGTTGCCAAAGTGTATCTAATGGCTTCTGGCATTGCCACGGAGTTTCAGCAACTTGGAATCTAGGCCATGACAGTCATGAACTACCTAAAAAATAAAAAAGGTTTAAACTGCCACAGAGCATTTGAAGGAATTAATCAGCTGCACATCCCTGAGAGCRTTGCAAAATGAAACCACATTATCTTCTGAGGAATTTCATGTTGTTGCCTCAGAAACAAATAAGATTTTTTTTTTTTTTGCCACTTCAGTAGAAAGCAGAACTGAATATCAGAATATTAGTATCTTAGCTTCTTCATCATCAGTGGCCTTTTTTTTTTTGCCCTTTTTTTTGCCAAAAAAAGAAACAAATAAGATTGAAACTCTAACTTCAGATTTTGTCTAACCCTTTCTGTCCTGCTTTGATGTTTCCATGTCCAGAAAATTAGTTTCTTTGTCTACCTCYTTGCATGTGATGACATCATTTGATTGTTTTTTGCTTCAAGCGTGTTTAGAGCAACAGTGAAAGATAAAAAAGTGGACCAGATGAAGGAAAAATAAGGACCAGTGAAGATGGTTAAGTGCAGAGTTTGCAAATACAAAAGGAGCAGAAAGAACAGAGACATAAACGTAGCAAAAAAAAAAAAAAACAAAGCAGTGAAATGTTTCTCACGCCAACTGGACATCACACATAAAAGGGCCGCTCCGTGTATTTTTAAAATCCAATTATGAGCAAGAGAAATGCATTACTGGTGGACAGGAGAGGTATTTTCTCAGCATATAACCTATTTTACTGACTTTCTTTTGTTCTGGTGATTTGTTCAAAGTATAGAATGTACACACACACACACACACACACACACACACACACACACACACACACACATTTCCACACGGCAGGCTGGCAGAAGTCAGTACCTAATTGCTTGCTGAGTTCAGCTTTTCTTTGCTTTGCTCCACCTGTGTGCTCTTGATTTCTGCTTTTCTTAACAAGATGTGACTTTTAGTGTTTTAGGAGGCTTTTATTTCATCCAGTCATTTGAAGATAAAAAAAGTTCAAAAATCAGAACTAGGTCCAATAGTTTCATAAGGTCATGTTTTGCTCAGTTGCAGGAACAGCTGTTAGCAGGGTTAAACCCTTCCAAATATTAGCAAGAAAGATTTGGCAAATATAGTTTTAAACAGATAGATTGTTTGCTAGATTGTTTCATGGTTTGGTGAAATTTAGAACACTGTTCATGTCAGACGTTCAGAAAAAACAGAATTTTTATTGACATTAGATTTTGGGTGATCCAAATATAATTTCAAAATGCCAAATAAGATCAATGTTATACAAAGTCTTTTCTTCTCCTGGTCATTGCTGTATATTAAATTATTATTATTATTATTATTATTATTATTATTATTATTATTATTATTATTATTATTATTGTCGACAGGCATTTACAGTATATGTATATACTGTATACTGTATGTGTTGTATGCAGTACAGTTATTCATTATTAATTTGTTGGCAGATATTATATTACAACAAATAAAATATTAGAAGGATCATAAAACTTTAGATTATTGCCAAATATCAGACATTATGTGTGATTTTAATTAAATGAAACATCTGGTACAAGTTTTAGCAAATAAAAACATCATAAAGCAACAGATTTTTTATTTTTATTTGGAATAAATGCTATTTATTCTTAATAATTTTCGGTCACATTTTACATTTTTTTCAGTGCTACATAATTTATCTGTGTCCCAATGCTCCTGAGGACAAAGCTAGGTCAATGAGTTACCTGGTCACCCCCCACCCCCCTTTCTCTGGTCCTCGAGGGTCTGGTTGTGGCTAGCACAGAGCAGAGAATCATTAATCAAATACTCTGAGCTTTGCCCCCCAGCTCCCTATAATTATCTTTAATTTATGGTCTTCCAACATCTACTTTAAGTTATTATTCCGGTGTAATATGTAAATAAAGAAAAAAATGGTGGTGTCCTGTCCAGTGTGTGTGTAGATTTGTGGGACTGTGTGGGTGTGTGGGTGTTTAAGAGAGAGCATATTGGAGCGAGAGTTCTGCTGTCAAAGATGCTGGAAGCTGATAGTGTTCAAGTTATAAATCACAACCACACGTCTGATAATTGGACCGACGTATCGATTCCCTCCGTGTGCCGAATTTACTGCTCCGATAGAGGTGGATCTGTGGAGATATCTGGGGACAGTTTTGCATCCAAACAAGAACAAAAACATCTTACAGAGACTCGCAACAAGCAGCAGAGCATGTACCAGTAATGGCAGATAAATGATAGATGGCAGAGGGAATACCGAGCACATCCCTGCAATTTAAAAGAATAAAGCTGTGAAACCAAACTGCCTGAAACCAACGTTAACTACTCTTTCACTGTGCTAACAAGAACACTGCCTTGCCACTTGTTACTGGAACATACAGACTATTAATCTGTAAAATAAAAAGAAGATATATTCTTAAAGATCTGTTTGTTATGCCCCCGTCGCTGTCTCGTTTTGTTGAAGAAATTCTACAGAAAGTCTTCATTTAAGCGTCACAGAAAACTGATAATTTATCAACATCAAATGTTGCTTTCACCTGTATTGTTTATATTTTCCGTCCTCTGAACTGTCACAATTCACCAGCTCTGCTGTGGTTTCGTGGCAAATGAAAAGAGATCCCCCAGGAACGGAAAAAGACAGAGGATCAGCGGAGGAGTAGCTGAGCTGAATATCTATTGGAAGATCAGAGTAAGGGTCTAATCTGGGTTAAACAGTTGCTCAGAGGGGCTCAACAATCCTCCAGGGTGAGGGGAGTATAGCAGGGTGGCACGTTGTAACGCTGCTGGATGAACATGGATCACTTTCATTTTGCAGTGAGATGCTTTACCCGACACAGAAAGGAAATGTTTTAGCAGCTCACACCATAATTTCCTTTACAACACAACACAAAACTCATCTTGATATTTACCTGAACGAATTCACAGCTTTTTGTTTTTGCAAAACAAACCTYTGAAATTCTGGCTGATCAAAATTTAACAAAATGATTCCATTATAAGGGCTTCACGCATTGAGAGAGTTTAAAATGACACATCTGCACAACAATGAAACAAAACAACAACAAACATGACCGTACAGTATTTGGACAACAATTGACGTGCAACTTAATTTATTTATAGCTACTATTGAGCAAAATTTTTCTGTGGTAGTAGCTGAGCTTCATCCTCAACTCATACTTTTAGACGTCTGTGTTAAAAATAGATTTTTAAAATATTTATTTCATAGCTCATCAGCTGATTAACATTGCACAGTTCCATTTTTTAAAATCAGTTGATTATAGGCATGCAGCCATTAAATATTGAAATAATTAAAAACTTTATCAAATAATTAAGTACTCAAACTGCTGACTATTTCCATTCATTTTTTTTCTTTTTACTGGAAACCATTCCAGACTGTTTCACCTGTATCACCTGCAGTTTTCATGCCTCTGAACAGTGATGTTTGTGACAGTTACGAAATGAAAAAGGTTCTGACAGGCATGTAGGGATGAAGGAGAAAATTACCTGAAACCCAGAGTTTGGCCCGAGTACAGCATCCTGCCCTCTTCTAAAAACACTTTTTTGACACTAAATCAGTGTGAGATCTTCCTGCTGTTCTATTCCAGTCCAAAAAAAAACTCATCTCAAAAACTACAAACAGTCACACCTCAAGTCCCTGAGAGACAAGGGGGCATTGGCGTACCGCCTGCTATCCTTTGGATGAACCAACAATCCTCAGAAGGTGGGGACGGTTGAGCATTGGTCTTCAGTTTTTATCCCTGGCGACCCCTATCACCATCCATGAAAAATGGCATACTCTGGAGCATTTAAGCGACTTTTTAATGAGCTTTTCAGAAACATCAGTGTCTCAGGGCTCCTCTGATGTTTGGAAAACTTTCACTGCCTTGTCTCTTGTTTAACACAGACACACAGCTATCTGAACCTTTGAGCTGAAAAAACAAAACCTGCCACACTTAGCTCTCACAGATCAGACTGATTGAATTATGAGTAAAATGAAGTTTTCTGTGTGTGAAACACATTCTATTTGTACACCTGAATAAGGCCAAGGTGTGTAACTGTAAGAATTTACTGAAGTGTTAGTCTATAACTTCAGTATCTAAATGGTTTTTGTCATTTTCCTGTCAACCCCACGAACAATGTCCAGGAAACTGTAAACATATTTATTAGATATTACTGATCTGTTTTACAGAATGTTAAGTTAACTATTACTTTGTTCTGTGCCATTACAGATGTCATATCAGAGTTATCGACACTTTTGGAACAGAACCAGCCTACAATCATGAAGAGTATGCAACCCTTCATGGCTACCGGACCAACTGGGGCTACTGGAACCTGAACCCACGGCAGTACATGACCATGTTCCGTAAGAGCAAATCTTCCGCCTTCAGTTACATTAAGTACATTTAACACACTGTCAACATATTTGTTGTTGTTTTTTTAAACAATATCAGAACAAAAAATATATTTTTCAGTTTAAAACAAGCTTACGTGCTCTCTCACACACTCGTCATCACTTAGGAGTTGTTCTAAATTTTCTCAAATGGCTTCAACCGAGCCTTTTTCTTTCTTTGACAGGTCTTGCTGCTTATTCACATTTGTTTGGAGAATGTTTAATGTTACTTTTTTCAGCGACAGCACAGCCCATWGCATCTCTTTAAGCTGTACCTGTGCTTTGTCTGCTCTGTTATATTCTACACAATATGTCTGATCTGCACTAAGAGCTGTCTGTCTCCTCACTTTCTTCCTGACTGAGTCTTTGACTACTTAACCGTCTCGTACTTGTGGATCCAGCCTTTAGAGTGGCCGCATGGCTGGCGCTTAGCAGCAGGATCATTATATTGACAATATATAACACACTGGAGACACCCACGTTCCACAGTGACCAAAGATTTAATGAGCAAMTCAACCTTCATACTTGTGAGAGCACAGTGGGAATGCAATTGCAGCTTTTCAATGCTTGAGAATGTACTCTGCTAAAAGAAGGGAAAAAAACTATAATTGGTTTTAAAATGTGATTCTAGAAAATTCAATATCTAAGGATTTAAGATGAAATTAGTTTTAATTATGTTGATTTTTTTAAACTTGGAAAAAACGTGAATGTACTTTAATTTTCCTGAACTGGTCATCTCAGCCTTAACGCTGGCTCCATGACGATCACTATTTATATTCCCTAAAGGCAATAGTCCAACAAACTGGGCACAAAAATGATAGTTTTTTCCAGCTTTCTTCTTCTTCTTCTCTTTTTAACAATTAAACTCCTTCTTTCCCTCTTTCTGTCTTTGTGTATTGTTTTCCCCCTGTCTTCTGACTCTCCTACCTTCACTTCCTACACACATCCACACACTCCTACACATTCAGCCCACACACCAGACAATTCCTTCATGGGCTTTGTCTCAGAGGAGCTGAATGAGACGGAGAAGAGAAGCATCCAGCAGAACAAAGTCAACAACATGGCTGTGGTTTACGGGAAAGAAGCCAGCATGTGGAAGGTACACTGACCAACTTTCACTGTCTCAAAACCTTTGTGTTCTCCAAAGTCATGTCTGTTCTTTATGACCTTGGGTTTGTTTGGTTTGGTTTGGTTTGGTTTGGTTTGGTTTGGTTTGGTTTGGTTTGGTTTGGTTTAGTTTAGTTTAGTTTAGTTTTTGGTTTGGGTTGGGTTGGGTTTGATTTCATTTGATTTGGGGTTTGGTTTGGTTTGGTTTGGTTTAGGGGTTGGGTTGGGTTAAATTTGTTTTTTTTTTGGGTTTGGTTTCATTTGATTTGATTTGGGGTTTGGTTTCATTTGATTTGAGGTTTGGTTAGGGTTGGTTTGGTTTGGTTTGGGTTGGGTTGGATTTGATTTGATATGGGGTTGGGTTTGATTTGATTTAGGGTTGGTTTGGATTGGATTGGATTGGATTGGGTTGGGTTGGGTTTAATTTGGGTTGGGTTGGGTTGAGTTTGGTTTCATTTGATTTGATTTGGTGTTTGGTTTGCTTTGATTTGGCGTTTGGTTTGGATTGGGTTGGGTTGGGTTGGGTTTAATTTGGGTTGGGTTGGGTTGAGTTTGGTTTCCTTTGATTTGATTTGGTGTTTGGTTTGGTTTGATTTGGCGTTTGGTTTGGTTTGGTTTGGCTGGGTTTGGTTTGGTTTGGTTATAATTTTTTTGGTTATTTTTTTTACTAGGTCTCTGAAATGCCTTGTTTGCTTCTGCTGCCAAAAGGCACCAAAGTGTGTAAAAACCACGAGGACCTAARTTCTGTACTAAATACAATTTAGAAAACAAATGAATCTTTTTAGCATTGATTCATTTTAATTAATATTACATCACGGTACTCCAGCTCTGCAGTGTTACAAGAAGACAACCTTGACAACATTTTTCACATCCCACTGTTTATGTCATCACAGTTCAGCTTCATGTGGCTTTTATATGCACAACTGTGCATCTTTAATTTACAGCCAATTTTCCTCTCAGAAATGGTTTGCCTGTTCATCCGTATGAAGCAGAAAGACACAGWTGTGCCTCCATTCTTAAAATAATTATAAAGAGGTTGTTTACTCTCCCTTGTCTGCCAGCTCAGTTCCCAGGTTTCCATCCTAGTTGTTGCTTAGGAAAAAGATCAGAATGGGTCATGAAAGCACAATACTGTGCCCTGAAAAAGGCTGAAAATTTTGTTTGTAACTTTTCTTTTCTTTCTTTTTGGTTTCACTTACTGTTCTGTGGTTGTTGAGCTGCTGTTAAGGTGGGATTAATTTCACCATAATTGTTGTTTTTCTTTTTTGTGGCAAACTGTTGGATCTGACTGGATTCTGATCAGCTTCAGGTAAGAGTCTGTTTCCTGCACCTTTTATGTCAATGCTGCGTGCCATGTGCATAAAAATGTTCCAATAACATGCCAGAAAATAATCAAGTGCTCGTAAATATCCAATGTTTTTTCAATTAAAGTCACCTCGCAATTAAATGTTGAGTTATTACCTTGTGAATGTAAACACATTACTCTCTGTAGCCTCCTGTATTTCCTTAATGTGTGAAAGTTTTTCATACTGAGCCATAACGATTTTTAAAGACTAATGTAAAAACACACCAGTGCTGCACTAACAGCCATACCTGCTTTGTTTTTTAGACCAGGGAATTTTGGTCTGAAAATAATGTGTTCCATTAAAAAAAGTCATTCTTTTTGTGTTGACTTAGAAAACATGAACAAATACACATTTTCACAACTACTGCAGCACATTTACTGTGGCGTATTTTTTCCCAAAAAAAAATCAATATTTGGTTTTCAAGAAAATGGTATTTTCAAAGGAGCTAAAATACTTTAGTTTGTTTGAACAGAATAAAACCTTGATTTAACATGTTATACTGGTAATTGTRAGCTTTAACAAGACATCTAATCATGTTTTTTGTGAATAATTTTGAAATGGTAGATACTGTCTTTGTCATTTATTTCAGAAACGACAGACTGTTCAGCAGCACTTTAGGATGTCTTAATATAATGAGAGAGGAAATTCATGGTTGTTTGTTATTTGTACACTAAAAACAGCTTGGTGATTTGTGCAATTATAATAGGAATGTTATTTATATTCAGTTTTTCCCATTAACCTGTTGGAAGAAATGTTACCATGTCTTTGTAGAAATAAACTGTTTCTAGATTCACATCGTTTTAATTAGTAGTTGTCTTTTTCCAGACGGTAGGAGAGAGAATAAATGATGACCAGGGAGGGATTGGGTCATTTAAGGTAGTATCTCACAGGGCTTTTATGGCAAAGAGAAAAYGTAAAATTAGTCAAATTATTTGTTGCAGTCTTACTGAATTCTGAGCTTTTGCAACCAGCAAGCTGTGGTTGCACTTTCAGCAGCTAGTTTTTGAAAATCATTGCTTGTTTTTTGTAATTTTTATTATTTATTATCAGCATAGTTAACATTTGTGGTCTTGGATGTTGTGTCATAAAGAGAGCTCCTCTATAGGTGTCAAAATACAGCTTTAGGCCTCTGAAATTATAAAAACTAAGGCACCAGTTCAAAATCCAATCAGCAAGATTGCAGGTCTCTGCGACTCATTTTCCTGGTCTTAGAGATGTTTAGGTTCAAATTAGTTTCCACTGCTCTGTAAGCGGTCTCATTATTGTTTATCAATCCTATGAGGGTGGTGTCATCACCACATCTGATGACGATGTTAGTAAGGTGAGTATATGAAAACATAGTAAAAGATGTACCGGTGTCCAGGTTTAGAGTAAAGTCTGATTTCTTCTCCAGCCGTTCTGAACTCTACACACAAACTGAAATAAATCTTCAAACAATCTTTTAAATCTGCACGACAAGAAACGAAATCATCCTGTGTGGGAGGCACACGTAGTACAGCAGGAAGTAGAGACAGAGAGAGAATTTCCAACTCAAATTGTGGAATTTGCACCCTAAAACACTGGTGTTTCTCTTGCTTGTTCATTGCCGTTGTCTGCTGCACTCAGCGCTCCAGCTAATCTCCTAATTGGCTGAGAAAATCCTCACAGAGGAAGCTATTGATCGCTGCAGCCTCCAGTTACTTCTCTGTGGAGGAGGAGTGTGCGGGGGAGCAGAGCAGAGAGATACAGTGAGCTGCTTAACATCAGCCGGCCGGTCGATATTATAGTCAGGTTTATGCTTCGTTCACGTTCTCATGATAATGTTTAGGCTGTTAACTCGTTGCTGGGTTTTGTTCTTGCTGGCACCGCGCTCAGCATTATCTCTAAAACGTTTCCTCTCCAGCTTTGTCAGGATGTACTGAGTGTATTTTGGGGAGAAAGAAGCACAAAGATGTGTGCAGAGGTGGGTAAAACATTGTAAACCAACAATAACATAAAAATTAAGACTTGATGGTATACAAGTAGACGTATTAAAAAAGTATAATGCAAAATGCTGTAACTGGTAGAGTTTGGATTAATTGTTGTATTCATTACTAGTTTTTTTTAAGTAAATTCTTAATAAATCAGTAGCTGCCAAATTAGTGTGGCAGAGCAACAAAGATCATTTCTGAGCTGTGCATAAATCTGACTTGTAGCATCAAATAATAAAARAACTCTATCAAAACTACTCAAAAAGCTGATCTCCCACCAGAACCAGACTGAGTAAAGGCGAGTTCTGTTTTCTCACTTGTTACACCCACACAGAGCCTGGTGGAGCCGCTTTAAAGGAGACAAGCTTGGTGCTGAACAGCTCTGTTTAGTGATTTTATTTATCTTATCTATTTTATATGGATCAAAGATGAACTAATTTAGGTTTTTTTTTCTTTAAGTATTAAAGCTCATGAACTTGATTGGTTTCTCAAAATTTGAATGATCCGAATCCTAAAGGATGTTCGGTCATGTTTGTCTGTGTTGATCTAATAAAATGTGATAAAACATTCGGACACTATTTTTTTACTTCCCGAAACCTTCCTTTGGCAGACAGACTAGTAACTTTATGTTAGAACTGTGTGTTTCTTGTTAACATGTGAATCTCATGCGGCCGAAAAAACCCTGAAAACAACGTATTTGCCGTCAGCAAATTAAACAGAAAATGACCATGGAGGTTTTGTTTTAATTTTACGGCAGTGTTTTTATTTTTTTAATGACAGAGTTGACGAATGTAAGGTAAGCAACTTAGCTTAAAAGAACTTTTGTTGCAATGAGGTGTTAAAATGCAGTTGCAAGTACTGATACTAGAGCTAAACCCAAATTATTACCACTTTTTTCTTACATACTTTTTTCGATTAAAATAGAATTTTTTGAAGTTATACCTTAAAAAAACAACTGAAGCTGCTAGCCCATCTCCATACCACCAAGTGAAGGATTGGTTTGCAGTGGCGGCTGGTGGATTTTTCTCCAGGGGGTCTACAACTCCAAAATAGACACATCTCAAAAAGCAATCAAACATGTATTAAGTTGTATCACACCAGTGTATTTATTAAACAAATGAAACAAATAAAACTTCATTACGGTGTCATGTAGTGTTTTATTTTTTGCACATAAATGTTGCCTTTCTGTAACTGAGAAGCAAAATTCTTCATGACTCTCCGGTTTGCACTTTATTTTAAACTCAGAGAATTTTTCCCCCTGTTCATGATGGAAAAGAAAACATGGATTCAAACGTTTTCATTTCATTCTCACCAAATGTGTTGTTTCCAGAAACACATCTATAAAAAYCACCCGTTCTTCTGTTTCTGCTCCTCCTCCAGCAGGGGAAAGACAGTTTCCTGGAGATCCTCCACAGATACATGGAGGTCCACGGAACGGTGTACTACGAGACCCARAGACCCCCGGAGGTCCCGCCCTTTGTGAAGAACCACGGCCTGTTGCCCCAACATGAGCTGCAGCAGCTGCTCCGCAAAGCCAAGGTAGAAAACTCGAGAATATCACCTGAACGTAAACTTTATCTGCTGGGTCCGCTTGTATCATACACACACAGAAATCTGTTTTCTCAGAAATGCAAACTGAGCTGCACATTAAAAGTGTGTTTCTGGTTGTGTTTTTAAGCTCTTCATTGGTTTTGGGTTCCCRTATGAAGGCCCAGCTCCGCTCGAAGCTATAGCCAACGGTTGTATTTTCCTGCAGCCGAAGTTTCAACCCCCCCACAGCTCATTAAACCACGAGTTCTTCAGAGGCAAGCCCACATCTCGAGAGGTAAAAACATCAATTTGTTCCCATTATCCGTCAGATTGTTAGTGTATTAAGAGCTGCCCAAAACTTTTAGTTTAACTCCAGAGCTGTCAGCAAAAAAAAAATGTACAAATTGGCTGGTTTATGGTGTTAAATGTATATTGTTTTTTTATTATTTTGGAATGCGCAGCTATAACATTAATTGATCATTAATTTTGCACAAACATATATGTAATAAACATAGACGGCGTCCAACTTTAATGAGGAAAGAAACTGAGCTTAAGGTCAGTTAATTAAAACGTTTTAAACTCTTACAGAACTTCCTTTTTTGTGTTGCTGTTGTTGTTGTGTTGTTGTTTTTCTTTTATCCCGAAGGTTTTCTCCCAGCACCCGTACGCAGAGCAGTACATCGGCAGGCCGCATGTCATGACGGTGGACTACAACAACTCGCTTGAGTTTGATTCTGCAATTAAAGAAATCATGAAAACCAAGGTACACACACACACACACACACACACACACACACACACACACACACACACAC